AGGTATTTTATCGGAAAGTTCGAGGAGCGATAGTAAGGGCGCTGTTGATGTTAGCGGATCCAGAGAAGTGCCAAAGGGAGGCCATCCAAAGTCATAAGGGGACCTGCCCGATAAGGTGCCACATTGTGACCGCCGGGCCTCCCTACTAGCCTCACTATGAAATAAAAAAGCACTTTAGATTTCGTTACCTTTATTCTTAGGAGGTCCTTTATTCGGAATCTTGCCTACAAATAGCGAGCTTCTGAGCAAGGACATTCCACTATCGGCTGGACAGCCATGATTTCGTAACCATTCAGTGGACCAACTGCTGACTGTAGGGTCACAATAAATGCATTCCTTCATACCAAAGCGGTGCGAGAGGCGTTCTGATGATCGTGCTGGCATTCTTCAAAAGCACGCGCTCGGGGGTGTCACGCATTATCCATCCGGCAATGAATCAGTGATGCCGTATGGTCACGAACTGTGTGGCACTTGGTCTGAATATCAGCACGAAAGAGGAACCTCTGAGCTGTGCAGCATACCTGTCCGCACTCAGCTTGAAATGATGGCTGATCCAAGCTTTGAAGAGCATTTCGAGGTAAGTTCGAGAAACTAAGCTGAATTTGTCAAGTCCAATTGATTCACTATCCACGCTAAATGTATCAGACAGCACCTAGCGAACATTCAGATCCAAACGTCCGGATGGTTTGGCCTACTAGGGCACCAGCGTGTCTTATGAGGACGTCACCATCAGTCCACAGCGGCATGCTCTGTATCGGCATCGACGAAGAAATAAAAACTTAAAAATCGTGCTCGTAAGTCACTCGCGCTAACACCCGACGTGACCGTCTTGTTATGCACATCAGAACAACAAAAACAACGACAAATATATGTCCATTACAAACACACATATTGAGGACGTTAGCGCAGATGCGCAAAAGCGAATTCGCTTTTTACGAGGCACATCTCCGCGTGTGCAACTTACAGGTCGTCTGGCCGCCACCACGGGCGTGGCTCACATATAATTTTGAGCGCCACTATCCCAGTGGGGGCGCCGCGCACCCATGTATCCATGTATGCATCCCAAAATCTATCCCAGAATCGGCCTCAGGTCCGTAAGTAGTTTTCGAAGCCATGAGCCACCGCACAGCTCTTGCCGTCATTCGCGCCGGCTGCGTGTAGCAGTATGTCGAGTTTATTGTGTGACGGGGTGAAGCAAAATCCCATTGCAGTTTTTCTGAACAATTTCAAAAACGTTTTGCCTAGCGACCCCGACATAGCGGAAAGTGCAAGGTAAAGTGGGCGGCATTGCCAAAGTGAAAACCACACACGAGGAAGATGAATCGTCAATTTTTCAAATTTAATCTTTGTGCGCTCAAGGAGGACTACCCAAACGAGGTGGGTGTGGAATTGCGGTAACGTTCTTTTTTTTTTGTCTCAACAGTAATATCGTGGCGGAACTCTAACCTCCAGCCTCTGGGACAGAGCTCGCTTGAATCTGACCGTACCGTCATCGTCCGGAAGTGTAGAGGGAGTTGACTCCAAAGTTGACTTGTGGCTGGTGTGAAGGAGTGTTGGACTTAGGTGAAATGGTTAAATGGTCGTGATCGAGTTACGTTTGGATTACGCACGTTTATACCTGTGTCATGTTGTGTGATGGGGACGACAGACGTAAAGTAATTGAGGTAGTGTGACTGTGTGCGTCGGAGCTTGACATGCAGGTTAGTTGTGTGCTGCATCTTGTGTCGAGCGAGTCGCGCCAAGGTTACGTCTAAGATTGTCAGTCGGCGTTCAGAATTGTGCTGTTGTCACCAGTTTCTATTTTAAAGTTTATGAACTCTGCGTGAGCCAGTGACAGTGATATGTCCATGGGAGCCACCATTGTCAGTGTCCGAACAGTGTTAGTCACAGTGTTGACAGGAAAACCAAGCGACAAACTGAAGCAGCGGGTCAACTTCGAAAGTTTATGGCCCCATGTGGTAAGGCATAACACCGCGCAACAAGTAAACCAGTGGTGCGGTCCAGCTCTTTCACAGTGTCCAGCGTCGCCGTGCAGTGCTGCTGTCCAGTGTCGTTGCCCAGTGCCGCTGCCCAGTGCCGCTGTCCAGTGTCGCTGCCCAGTGTCGCTGCCCAGTGCCGCTGTCCAGTGTCGCTGCCCCGTGTCGCTGTCTAGTGCCGTTGTCCAGTGTCGTTTTCCAGTGCCGCTACCCAGTGTCGCCCCAGTGTCGCTGTCCAATGCCGCTACGCATCGCCGCTACCTCACCTAGTGTCGCTATCCAGTGTCGCCCAGTGCCGTTACTAAATGTCGCTGTCCAGTGCAGCTGTCCAGTGTCGCGGCCCAGTGGCGTTATTCAGTGCCGCTGTCCAGTGCCGCTGTCTGGTCAGAGCAGCGGGTCGACGCCTCTCGTCTGGCCGTGGTGGCAGCAGGGTCGTCGCTGTCCGCCCCGGGGAGTACTATCGCACACATTACGCGTGATCAGCCGCATGAAAGCGGCTCAGTGCTGGCTATAGGGAAACGAGCTTTCCTGATGCCCTTTTAATAAGCTTTTCGTGCACCGTCATATCAGCACCATCTAGTGTGAGTACGCAAACATGTTGTCGGCACTAATCCGGAATTTAGAGGTGGAAAACTTCGGCAGCCGGACACCCCCAAATTAGATACATATATTGAGTATCGGGTGATAAAATCCCGTCCGGTTACATCGCTACAGAATAATCCCTGCTGAAACAAATCTCGATAGCCAAGTTTTGCTTACATGCTTTAGCTATATATGCATGGTATTAATTCCTGCTTTGAAGGAATATTTGTTGCAATGAACGTCAAACGTTTTCTGCGACGCCATTAACAGAAGTGTTGCGTCATATATACATATAGTTTTCGTTGAGCGGTTCCTGAGCTGGTTCGAAGACTTGAGAGTTATTTTCATCACCTCATCTTTTGACCCACTAGTAGCATTCAGTGGGCTTCCTCCCTTGCTGTATGCTGAAGTAGACTGAACATCCAGGAAACGGGCGGGTGACTATGCGCTGTACGAGTAACGTTTTGGTGACTGTGTCGCTCGTATCGCTTTGCACATAACATTAAGTGTGACACGTTTCCTTCAGTTTAAGACATTCATTATTTTAAGGCCACATAGTGAAGAAGGTACAAAGAAAGACAAAAGCAGACAGCACAGTCTGTGCAATATCCAGCCGGCATTCCAGCCGCATTGCATGCCTATTCTCCTTTCTCTGTATTTTGCGAGGTGGCAGCACCATATCGCCGTGAGATGGCGAATGCACCGTCGATTCCATCGCGGCCCTGATGATGAGCGCCTGAGGCGTCGGAGGATGTCGCTTGCCCAACTGTCAGGCGAAGCGTACGTGCTCTGCTGCTGAAGATGGAGCATGCAGCGCGTGTACCACGGGGAGAATCTGCTGCGGAAAGGAGAGGAAATTCCTGCCCAGGTTTAGTCCGCCGCTCTGAAGAGTAGACCCTCACGGGTAAGATTACATTTACCCGACCCACCCGCCACACATGGAGCTGCACACGTACTCGCATACTACTTTTTCTTAATCATGTGTACCAACCCGTTTGCATCTTTCCAACACTCGAGCTCTAAGCTATTGAAGAGTTGCAGGAAAATATGCATCCAAATTTACTGTATCGAGTCGCGAATTCCCACAGTAGAGTGACTGATTTGATCATGACTAAACAAAGCGCAAGTAGCGATATTTTGCAGTAGTTCTTGAACCACGTACGTGACATCCTGTAGTCACCCTAGCCATGCCCGTATCCACACTGATAATTTTCACAAGCTGTACCCAGCCCAGCCCGTTCCTTATTGCATAGGGTTGAGGAATGCTGGGCTTACCCAATCCACGAGGTCTTCTGATGAAGACCGCTGTCGTGCTGAGCGACGTCATCATGATCAGCTACCACAGGCACTGCAGCACCTGTGACGGTGTCAGTGGTGGCTGCCTGAGCAGATACCCGAGGGCGGGAAGTCTGCGAAGTGGACTGGGAGTGTGGGAGGTGAACTGGGAGTCTCGGATTTGGACTGGAAGTCTGGGAGGTGGACTGGAAGTCTGGGATGTGGGCCCGGAGTCTGGAAGTCTGGGAGGCGAACTGGGGGGTCTGAGTGTTAGACTTGGAGTCTGGAAGTGCGGAACGTGCAGTTTTTGTAGAGGCCGAGGCAGCTCATACGTAAACTCAGCTGCAGGCGTGGTTGGCTCGTCAAAACGGCGCAGCACATGCTCTTTATATCTATTAGTTACCGTGGAAAGACGTTCGGGAAGGAACAGGCACCCCAAGATATCAAGCAAAAACAAACGCACAGCTCATCCTCCCAAACCGTGAGTCGGTTGACGGCAATGTCAGTGTTATGAAGCGTCTAATTGTCTGAGTCAAAATGTACTCATGATATAAAGCTTGCCGCTTCAGACATGCCCCAGCAGGGCAGGACGTTGCAGATGTAGTGATGAATTCGAGTTGCGAGACATCGTTGCGTTGAAGCTAAAGACGCAGTTGGAGCACGTGAGCGATGCAAACCTCGGTGGGGCTGGGAGCTATGTCGTACCTGCTGGAATTTTGGGCCACATCGAGAAGGGATTCGGTAGATTTCGCAAAACTTAGCAATCCACTGAAAATCAGGCGAAATGGTAAAGCAGCTGCTCATCAATAGTCCTCGTGGGAAGGCTTCCATCTGTTCCTGACCCAAAACGTTTCCGGGGACCAGTTCGCTTCTCGAAATAACGTAGTACCGACAGGTGATGAAGTCGTGATGAAGTCGTTAAAAAGGCATATTTTATCAAGCACAAACCAATGCTAATGATTCTTCGTTTTTGGGGGGAGCTTGATGAACAACTGATGCATATCTTAATGTTCCTTTAAGCCGAAAAAACAGACTAACTGCGGCTATTGCAAACCATGACGGCTGACAACCCGACATACGCACTTCTTGTCGCCTCTAGTGAAATGTTTCCGCTCTGGTTGGCTGAGATCCGCGCAGTCACGCGTCCAACACATACTTCAGACCACATTTACATTGGCGTTCATGTATGCTGGTTGGACGGTACTCACAGCAGTGATTGTAGCGGATGAGTGCGAGTTAAACACGTGTCCAGGCACGTCAGCAGGGAGCCCGTCTCTTTTCACCACAAATATGTAGCTCTGTTGCAATGCAACACGTGTTTAACTCGGTTCACTATGCCGCGTAACAGCACGCCAGATTTCAGCACGCTATCAACGCCGCCAAACACAATCCTATAAATGAAAAACGGTGGAGTCAATAACAACGCATGGATGATGACACTCCCCAATACATACGAACATCGCAAGCCATTCGCTGAAACCTTCAGGGCAAGTGCTGGCAAACCCAGCTCTAGGCGGTGCCTTTTCGCTTTTGCCGTTTCAGCTGGTTGGAGAGCTTCATGTGCTTCTTGCGCACCCGAGCCTTATGCTTCTGCAGGCACTGGCTCTTTTTCCTGTTCTTCTTCTCCTGCAGCTTGGCCTTGGCCTGGAGGATCTTCTGCCGCGAGCGCTGCGAAACAGCCTTCTCTGGTGGCTGAGCCGCGACACTTGCCTTGAGCTCCATCCCGGGCACCTGGTCCTCCTGCTCCTTCTGCTCCTCGTCCTGCTCCTCCTCCTCCTCGGGCTCAGCGGTCAGCTGCGGACAGTGTGGCGTCAGAGGTGCACCGTCCGCTGCAGCTGCCCAGCTCGAGCCGCGCTGCAGCCATGGAACGACGCACGAGGGCGCGGGAACAGCTCACCCCGGGGGACGGAAGGCGCCTGGTGCGGCTCCGCGGCACCCATGCGTGTCCGTTTTGTTACCAAAAAGCACTCTGGGCGAAATATGAGATGCTGTTTTGTCTGGACAGCATTCCTTGACGCATGGCAGGCATGACCAAGGAGACCCACTCGGACCGGTGCGATAAGTAGGTCACGCCCCCAGACCCACCCCGGTGCCAAGGGGGTTCGGTCGGCAGGGAGAGCGGGCAAAGATAGACATCATCACAGTGTTGCGCTTTCGTCGCGGGCGCTGGCTGCAGCCAGTGCCTGTGAGCACAGCCAGCTCAGCACGACTCAGCGCCGGTCTCTGCCCGTGAGCACAGCCAGCCCAGTACGACTCAGCGCCGGTCTCTGCCCGTGAGCACAGCCAGCTCAGCACGACCCAGCGCCGGTCGCTGCCCGTGAGCACAACCAGCCCAGCACGACTCAGCACCGGTCTCTGCCCGTGAGCGCAGCCAGCTCAGCACGACCCAGCGCCGGTCGCTGCCCGTGAGCAAAGCCAGCTCAGCAAGCCCAGCGTCGCGGCGAGGCGGGTAGTACCTGACCACCAGGGAAGAGGCCGCCAGCGTTCAGGTCGATGTGGCGGATGGTGGACACACTGACGGTGTGCCGGTCCAGCTCGTGCGTCACCGCCTCCGGCTCCTCCGAGATGAGCATGTTGTCCGGCAGCACGGTCGGACCGTGTGACACGCGGTTGTTGCGCTTCTGCGGGTCCGAATGGCGCGTGGTCAGCCGGACACGCGGGGTGTGCTGGGACACGACGAGGGCATGGAGGGGCGAGGTGGGGCGGCGGGGTGGGGCGGCGGGCCGTCCGGTTGTCACGGCGTCCCACCTGAAGGTGTCGACCGGACTGGGAATGAGCAGCACCCGTTCCATGACGGCGCAGAGGCTACACGGAGCCCGTCTTAGTTGTTTGCTATGCATGTGATACAAGGATAGCTGTCCACTTTAAACGAGCAGAATGCAAAATACTTTATGAAAGCGAGAAAGGTTTTCAGCTCTTGGTTTTCAGCATGATAGGGTCAGAGTTCTTTGAGAGCTATCGACCTTCAAAATGTCAGGGGACCGTATGGAAATTTACTTGTCAACATATAGTCAATGTAGTCAGTATAAGAATATGCCGGCCATTACCGCCGTATGATCCAGCAGTTTGCACGACCTTGGGAAGTGTGGACTAGAGGTTGTAGTTCGTAGAGGTCGCAGAGTAAGTCAACGCTAGTGCGAACAGCATTAGAAACCCCAATGCGTCCAGCTGAGACCATGTATTGGGTATTAGGCGGTGAAAATCCGAATTCCCAGCACGTCGTGAGATTCGAGCGATGTTTGTGGTGCCCGCTGAACATGGCAAACAGCTTTAAAACAGCTTATAATGCAACACTCGGCATGGGTCGCGTAACCTCCCGGTTCAGCCGCCTATGTTTCGTGCAGCCTCCAGCGTAGAGCCGTGCACCAGGTGTGATGTGAGAGCTCGGAAGTTGCATTATTTTTTAGTGTCCGCACAGATGCGGAACATTATCTGCATCTATTTGTCTTGGCTTGTGGGCGTATTTTTTGCTTAACCTTGCTCATCTTCTTTATAAGTAGCTAATCCCAAGAAGGCCCGAAGCATCGAGTACTGTCAATGTAACCAATGCTTGCTTCATAATGTTGCTAAACCAGTGCCTCCTGGCATACGGAAGAATGGGAGCTTGTTTGTTAGAGTGTAAAAGCTCTGGCTCATAAGAACGCAAAAGCACTTGTCCGAATTCAATCCTTCGATAGTGGTGAATCAGCGGAAGGAAATAATTTAGAACGCGCGACGGGCAGGTCGTACATTGTTCTTTTCGGCCATGGGCAACACACTGTCGGATTCTGGGTCATCGACTTTTGAGCTTATTTCCTGACGAACATCCTAAAAGATTGGATAGCCATAGAAAGTTCTACATTTGGATTTTACTTAGAACGAGCACAACGTTATCAACTTGCAAGGCAGCCTTCCAGCCAAAGTGAAGGCCAAACATGTGAAACAACGACGCTTCCACACTACCGCTACCCGCTACACGAAGACCCAGTACCACCGATTTGTGTCTTACAGTGTCCACATCACAAGCAAAAGCCTCGTGAAAATATTACAACATGAGGAAAATCTCTGCAACAAGGTAAGTGGTGCGGAGAGTATGTCACAACGTTCTGCGTGTCACTGGGGCTTTATGACACATTCAGCCGCTGCGGCTAAATGGCGTCCCCTGCCTCTCGCCCTAGTAGGAAGGGTGGACAACGCGGGAAACCGAACCCCGTACCTTTGGTTCCCCAAATGCGTAGCGGTTAACGCAGACGCGTCAACCGCTACACTATCGGCACACCCTTTTGACAGCCTAGACTCCGTCATATCGTCGTGGTTTTCGGCCGTTGTAACCTTATATCCTGATGACACCATGGAGATACAACAAAAGCCAAAAACCTACAGATGAAGATTCTTTGACATATTCTGTGTTTGCTAGTGCCTGCTCACACATGTGAGGTTCACTATTGCAATGGTTCACACAGCCTCATTACAGTTACCAATGCGGCTCTGCCGGCGCGGCCGCCCGTTCTTACCCAGTGAAGCGATGGTGGGCTTACGCCGCTGCAAAATAGAACGGCCAGGTCTGGGCACGACTTCGACCGAAGTTGTGCAGCTTTTCGGTGATTTTTTTTGCGCGCTTGCAATGCGCAATTGCTCTCCCAAAATGCATGCCTCCGTGTCAGTCTACCGGGAAGGATGCGCTTTGTTCGCATCGTGCTATTTCGGTGCGATTGCGTTGAATTGGAGATTCTGTCTGCAAATGCCTTCCAATTTTTACAGCAGCCTGCAATGAACTGCACACGTTGTCTCTGATACCTGCACGGAGATGCGACCAGTGGTTGCAAATTTGAAGACATTGAAGCAAGCGTCAGATGTCATGAAATAAGCTCACTTCAAACTACTGGTATACTTTTAAACGGAAAAGGCTGCTCTAGACAGCACAATATCTCCGTTTAGTAAATGTGTTCTTTAATATGTCATTGCTTGATTACGCTACCATATTTTGCACAACACTGATTGATAGCGAATTGAAGGCCGCTATATATGGAATTCGTGCTCACGAACAGCACATATGACCAACTCGACAACTATATTTTTTTGGCCTTGATCGCCGCATGGCTAATGGGATGGCAAAATATAAAAGAATATCATAGCGTTATAGGCGCCTGGGTGATCTTGAAATGGTCTCCCCGAAATAGCATGCACATCTTCGCGGGCGTGTAGCTAAAAACAAAAACTGGAGGGGACTAGGTCTTAAGAGGGCCAGGACTGAAACTGCCCCAATGATATTCAATATGGCTATTTCAGTTTAAAACCCCAGACAATTGTGGAACACTGCCTTTAAACTCGGACGGGCGGACTACCTCAAACGAAAACTGCATCATCATTAAGCGCAATTCGGCTGGTCTGCGGCCTCTAGTCGTCATGGAAAGTGCCGTCATTATGTGACAGCAAGAAAAAACCCAGGTTAGGCACTACCGACCTCCTGTCTGATGCGATTTTTTTCCTGCTTGAAGCGGGTGTCAAACTTCTTCATTGCAGTTTCACGTCGCTCCTGTTTGCGTTTCTTGAAGCCGGTGAGATAATTCCTACGGACAGAACACACGTAAATGTCTCACACAAGTCTGATCCATTATTCAGCCCAGAGGAGACGACTGGAAGGGCATGCGCGTTTAAAGGCACTGGCACAAACTTACTATGTTTATGGCACTTTTGTTTCTAGGGGATTTGCGCCTAATGACACCAAAAAGGGTGTGCAATGAAGACATCACTAGAAAGCATAAATTCACAAAAACTGACCTTCTGTCATTTTCATTGAAAACCAGCTCCAGCTTTGGTCCTTTCGTCTTGACTTTTGCAGTACCTTGTTTTCTGCCCATGTTGTCACAGTACTGAAACGGTCAAATTGTTTGATAAATGCATCTTAATGAACCTAAAACATATGAAATAATTGCTCAGGATGGCAAAAACTATAGCATATTTGTCCAACCTGGTCTAAGGTTTGGTTCACATATCAAGCCATGTATATATATATATATATATATATATATATATATATATATATATATATATATATATATACATGCATGCAATGAGCATGCCAACAGCAGCACAGCACCAGCATGGCATCACTTGTCACCGTCAACTTCGTTTTCATTGTACAAGATGCCTTGTCTGTTGTCAGCCTTGCCTGAGAACCTAATACTGGCTGTAAATAGCCATCAAAGGGGGTATTTCTTTGAACTGAAAACCAAATATTAAATTTCTGTCCGACGTAGGATTTTTGTGGATCATAAGTCATGGCACGATATGTGGGGCTGCGATTTAAGCATAATGTGGCTGGGCTACATCATACCACAGCTTCACCGCAATGGAATAGGTTAATCATTACCAACTTATATGGATTAGTGTAAAATGTTATTGCCATCCTGTCATCATCACTTAAATTATTGGGAAAACAAAAAACCCAGATAACATAACTGAGCATGATACAGGCTTTCCATGTATGAATAAAACACACAAAAATGGCATGCACCCACATTATGATCTCACATCTTGCGAACTGAAGAAGGATCATTAGAACTGAGAAAGGATCATTCCACCCAGCCATCGCCGTCGTTTCCTCGGGACCCAAAGGGTTCCCGGGGCCCTCGGGACCCAAAGACCTAACGCACGTCATGCGTTCTTGTCCCACCGGTAGTGGCGTCCTTGGTTCCTTGCAAAAAGAAAACAGTGGACAACTCTTGCTGCCTTCTTGAGGTTGACGCCAATCAAAATCAAACAGTTTTGAGGTCTCTGTGGTGCCTCCCTAGAAGTGGGGGTGCCTGCTCAAGATAAAGGCAGCCATGCCCAAAATGAAGGCTTTGGGTAGGTATATCTTCGCCGATTGGTCAGACTTAGGATTTGTTAGGGTGGAAGACACAGAATTCGTGTTGCCCTTGGTTCTGGTGACATTTGAAAGTGAAGATGTCAGTGTTCTTTACATGACTCATTTGCATTTGGTGCCTGTTAAAAAACGTGCGGTGCCACTATGACAGGCAGGTGCTGTGGTTAAATGGCAGTTGGATCTTCCCCAGCAAACAATCCATCTTTGAACCAAAACAGGATACAGAATTAGTATATTAAATTTTTGGAACCTCTGAGATGTCTATGCAGAATCTTTACCAAAATATAACCATCCATCTGCTACCTGTCTTGTGCCCATTTGCAAGAGGTGAGCTTATGAGGTGGATAACAGCTCAAAATATTGAGTACTGTCAACATGTTGGTTGTCAAGAGCTGCAATGCCAGTTAACCAGCAAATCCTGAAATGTTCAGGATCATCACCTCAATGTAAGAGCTTTGAGCTCATTAGAAGTTAATGGATTTTCTTTCTTGTGGAGCCAGAGAAAAGTGGACAAAAAAACTCCTTAGATGTGTTTATCAGATAAATGATGGACAATGGTCATTGGTTTGACCTTCCAATGATAAATGCAGAGTTCCAGCCCTGTATATCAGTACATCAAATTCTTGGCAAGAGGGATAAAACTGGAACAAGATTTGCAAGTTCATTTTAGGCAAACTACATTCAAAGATGGTCAAATTATGGATATGACACAAAAATGTAGCATCTACAACAAGAAGCAATTTGCTGCCAACAAAATGTGAATGCCCACTCATTGGACATGGTCACCTTTGTGGGTGGTCAGCCCAATACATGGGAGGTCGAGAACTGTCCCTGGATGAGAGCCAAATGTTGGCACCATTCGACCATCTGTAATATCCTTAAGGTTACTAGAGCAGACATATTCCACAAGCAATCAAAAGCATACAAATCTTAACTGACTCTTATCAAATTTGGCCTATATGTATGGATAATTTTGTAAGATACATACATTCCAAACTTCTTTCAGAAGCATTTTCTACAGCTGTTAAGTTCTGGTCACAAGTCTATGGATCTTGAATTGATCTGGGTGGGTGGCAGGTCTCTTTTGGATTCAGGTTTTCCAGTCCATCAATTCTTGCAGAAGCATCTCTTAGATGCTGTTTAAAGTTTTGGTTGGAGATATATGAATCTTGAATTAATGTGGGTGGGTGGTAGGTAGCAGTGACAACTTCTTGTAATTATACAGGTTGTAAGAACCACTAATAAATATCTGGTGCAGGTGTTGCCATCAATAGTATATGGATTGCATATTAAGTTCAGTATGTTCACACCACTTAAGAAAAGGTGAGATGTATGACATGAATGCCCCCTTTTCTGCCTGCTGCTTGTAACAGTAAGGTGATACAAACCCCATTATCTCCTTACTGATTTGATGTGTGAACAGCAAAAAAACATATTTGACACCAAAAATGGCTGTTGTCTCAGCAACATAGAAGCAAAAAATTCAGACCACATACAATGTAAATAAGGGAACTACACATTTCAATGCATAGGCACAACCATTTCCAGTGCATGGAGACGTCATTTTAGGAAATTGAACTGTTTTTCAGGAAATTTATTCAGAAGTACTCAAAGACCTGTCTTGCACGCCTTAGAGGAAATTCAGCGCACCCTAATCTGACCTAGAGGCTCAAGGCTATCCGGTCTAGGATCAGCGCACCCAAGCGCAATGTCACGCAGGCGTTTGATGAAGTGAGCAGATTTTTCGCAGACAATCCGGTGTGTAACCGATTACTGTAGCGCTGTGCAAATGCGTTACCAACACACACGTTGGGAGTTACCGACCCGTACTGTGGTAGTTGTCAAACGTATCCCATCCCCTCAGTAGTTAAGCGCGACACGCGCGACATGCGTACTTGGTCCACGGTATTGTCACAGGTGCGCTATGATACATAGCTTGCGTAGCTACATCAGCTGATCAACGTATATGACATAATTGTGGTATCAGGATGCCGGAATAATATTGATGTTCACGGGGCTCAGGGACAAGGCCAGGGACGGTGACATCGAAGGGAACGTGTGGAACGCGTCTCTTGAAAACTCTTAGAACATCTGTCCTGACAACTTTCGAAGTCAAACATTGTGGAAGGCATGTGTACGCATTCTAGTGAAGCGAATTATTACAGCAAACGACCCCTCACAGCAGGCTTAACGTACTTGATGTGTCACCAGGAGCTTCTTTTATACTTTCGGGGGGGAGGGGAGGGCATGCCTCTAATTGTGGTCGCAATCCCTCTTCATCCCAGCACTCCTCTGCCCCCCCGCACCCCCACCCCGAAATAGATATGGGCAAACAATTAATACGGGTCAATTAAATGCCGTAAAATTCCCTGAAATGCAGGCGCACTTATGACCTTAAGATATCACCACTACTTCTCGTTCATTTCGCACCACAAAACGTACTGCAGTTGCCCAGAAGCAGACCCAGAGGGTGTGGGGGGGGGGGGGGGACACGGCGGCACTCGAATGGCCTCATGCCCCTCCCCCTCTCCCTCTGGAAGAGTAATAGATCTGCTATCCTTCAGAGCTTTATTTTTTTCCAGTCAGCTATGTAACCAAAAACGCGCTGTCGTTGATTCAAACAGCACTCAACAGCCCACGACTCTATTAAAAAACACTTGTCGCAAATCATGCAAGTGAATGCACCTTATGATCAATGCAATCTGCGGCCAATTGGCGGTTTGCAGCAACCAGACGTCCAGACAGCGTGCCAAAAGTGTCATGGTTTGCATCTTTTCACTACCAGCTAGCTAGCATTCCAAATTCATGAACAGGCCTGCTTCCATGTCATTGTAGCCCTGCGTAGGCGAGAAGGGCAAACGTATTACTTGAAAAAAGGCATGGCGACACGGCTCACAAAATGTTGCCAGGACGTCCATATGTCGTTTACGTAGCCATCTCATAACCCAAGACAAAATGAACTTAGACCTGGAAGTGACGCCGGGTAAGCGTATTTTCTGGACAGTGATACAATTACGTGATATCTCCGGGGTGTGTTGTCGTGAGGAGCTCGGAAGCCAGGACATGAAAATTTTTCAGTCCTGGGGAATTTCGTCCCACACCATAGAATGAGCATGCAAAAAAGTACATAATAGCAGCAGCCAAAGCGTGACGGGAATTTACCCCAGCACGACTGGATATGCCACGTTACGCTTGAGCATGCTTTGACCATGTCACATGCGTCTGATATAGCATGTTGGGAATACGGGAGAATCTCTTTTTGTTTTCCATTAGTGTTTCGGTACGACTGCACTTCAAGATATTTTTGAAACCAATGATGGGCTGAGATCAGGCCTACCTGATATGTCTTGTTTAACGCTACCGGCTGCAGCACAGCATCGCGTGGGATTCGTAATATATATATATATATATATATATATATATATATATATATATATATATATATATATATATGTGTGTGTGTGTGTATGTATGTATGTATGTATATGTGCGAAAGGACTTAATGGGCCTCACAGCCGGGTACCGCCAATAGCCCCAAAAGAATAGCATTGTTTCAATTTGACCTGGCGTGATCGAGTCCATCCAAGCTCACGAAAACAGCTCTTGTTCCTTTTATGATGAATGGGATTATTGTGGTCATCGAGGCCATAACGATGGCAATGAGAGATTGGGTTACTCGTTCGATTCCCATGAAAGTGTGCTATGCTAAATGTAATACATCATCGTTACACATTAACACAATGAAGGCCGTTATTTGCTTAGTACTATATGCGATATAGCTGAAAACTTCACAGCCTAAATCGTAGCGCGAGGTCACCGAAGTCATGCATGTGCATAAATTAACCGCTGCCCTACGAGGTGTGGGGGGGGGGGGGGGCGGGACCCACCTCAGTTGCAGTTAAGCACGGTGTTGAAATGTAGAGTACTGTGACTCACATCAGTTTTACACATGCTGATAAAGTTTCAAGTTTCTGTTCAGTACGGGTCTATGCGTTCTTTCTAAAGGTCATGATGTGACAATTTACTCAGATGTGACAAACGGCGTTTATCTCTCGCAGTAAATCAACTCCAAAGAGGTTTTCTAGACTGTTCTTCTCATCCGCACCACTCCGCAGTGCAAAAATAATTTTGGTGACCTTGGAGGCGTCAGGTCTTCCAAGGTCAATCTAGGTCAAACTTTGAACTTGATGACAATGTTCTTCAGTTCGCAGATCATACGATTCAAGGTTGGTACAAACCGCCACGGGCCTGTTACTGGCACATATCTTACCATTTGGAAGACGTTTCTAACTCTGTTCTCAACATTAGCATTGTTCATTTAGTGTTTTGCATAACAGGACGAGTCAATGCAATAATCCCCTTCACCCTGTTGACCTCATTTGACATATCACGGGTTACACGTGTCGATGTAAATGTCGATGCCAATGACCTAGTTTGACGCTTTAAGGTTCAGAATCATGATTTCACAGAAGCATATCCAGCTGAAGCAGTTTGATTTGATTCATTTGTCTTGTTAGTTTCATGACATGAGACATGAGAAGACCTCTAAGGCCCAGCTGCTTTGTAGGGTGAAAGCAAAAAAGTTTGGGTAACGGTTATGATCGAGGGTGATTCCGTCATGTATGTTATTTTACCTGACGTTTTATTGGTAAATGCCTTCCATAAACGAAATATGCCACCTGTTTGTACCTTTTATTTACCGTTAAATTATATGCGTCTGATTTGATCGTTGATACTACCTGCAACAGCTGACAACAACCCTCAGCAGATTCTGCCGTCGTTATGATGATGCGGTTTGTGGCAACTGCAGCTGCCAAGGAAGAAGTGTAACGCTGTTACAAAGCGTCGACAGTGTAATTTGGACTCCAAATAATTGAAATACACGTCCTCATCATGACCTGATGGTGCTTTAGCGGTGTCACCCAGTGCTACTATATGATGTAAATGGTTCTGAGTTCTCACCAGATTGCTTTTTTCTAATATGCCCCAAGGGTGGGAAACTGACAAAAGCTGCCTTTTATGAGGAAGCCCTGTTGCTTTTGGATGTTAATGCCTTTACGTTCAACCAAAAGCCCCACCAGCAGAATAAGGCTTGTGTTCATATCTGCTTGCTGAGGTGTTTGGAGTAAAGCAGCGTAACTCCATGTGAAAGGCCTCGGCCTGACGTAACTTAGCGAATATCTTCGGCCAGGACTCTGACTACCCGCCATGAATGTGCCAGTTCTGAACTACATCCTAGCTAATCTTAGCAAACCACCCAGCACCGAACTGTACATCAACACGCTCATTCAAATTAACACAACTCCACTCACAATGATTGCGTGCTTTATTGATTGCGTGTTTATTGACCGTGTGCTTTATTTTTTGTACTTTGACTGAATCATCGTAATCTGATAGAAAGCCACACTCCCGAGGAGTAAAACTGGATGTATGATGCATTTACCAACAAAAGTTAGTAAAAGACCTTTCAGTGATGGTAGGATACTGAACCATTGCCATCCAGAAATAGCCTAAGAACTGTCATGCAAGCGAAGTGTGAAATGCCCAGTCGTGCATGACCGGCCGGTCAGATTGCCAGGCTAAATTCGCCACTCGCGCAAAAGCTATCGCTCACAAATTGCATAAGCATAGGCTATCTGATATATCTCACATTTATTATAGTTGCTTTCAAAACAACGGACTATGTAAACAGTTTATTCCAAAAGCGCTGGTGAACATCATCAGCTACGGGATGTACAGGACAAAACGAGAACACATTCGACTCGCAAGTCGTGGGACAGTGACAACGGACAGGGACGGTGGACATTATCCGTGCTGTTACGATCGGATGTTTATGCAGCCACACTTGGTAGAGTACGTAGTTGTTTAGGACGTGGACGTAAACTAAGACTAGACGTAAACATACTGATCATGACAAATACAAACACAGTTGGTTCAACCAACCCGTTTGGACATGAAGTCACCGGAAGTAGTGAGAAATTAGTGCGCCCTGTGAATGGTTGATTACACTCGACGGATGTGCTCGCGGGTGTGGCTGAAATCGGGCAGGTGGTCGCCCTCCGGGTGGAAGCCGTTCTCGTCGGCCATCCACGTGACGGTGTAGGTGACGCCCTCCCACTCGTATGAATAGGAGCCAGTCCTCACGTAGTTGCCGGTCCCCGGCTCGCTGCCCGGGTACGAGATGCCGTCCTCGTTAGAAGAGATCCCGTTGGTGGTCTCGAATCTGGAATGTCGACATGTATTTATATATAGCAGCATTTAGATGTGACTTAATACGTGACTTAATACTTGATACGTCGCTCCTAATACGTGACTTAAAACACGTGTGCAATAGCCATGTGCCATATCACAGCGTAGTACGCGGAAAGCGACGTTCGCTGAACCTAAAGTGTAGTGACTTACGAAACGCTGAGTCCCAAACCATTCCTTTCACGTATACAATTTTCACGACGCAGAAAACCTCCAAATGGCTTCACTTCGATAAAAATTCCACTGTCAAAACTTTTAGACAATGCTGCTAAGGACCAACACAACTGTTGCCGACACTGCTGCCACCGACGAAATGTCCGCGTGACGTTGTTGTCACGCATCAAAGCTGCTGCCGACAAAACGACCACGCGGCACACGTCTTACTGACAAAACTCCCTACTCACAGACAAAGCCCTTGTATGGCGTAGCACTATTCCCGATGAAGCTTTCATCTTAGCCTCATCTAGAATCATCGCACAGAACCAAAATAACCTCATCTCACCCCATCTGATTCAATTTTTCCTAAGTTACCAGGCAAACTTTTGTGCCCATTTTCATTACGTTTCTGTGCTCAAAACGCGCATACATTTTGACGGTTAAGTAACAGCACTGTCGCGTAGTGATGCTGTGTCGCACAAGATGAATGGAGTGTCCTATATTCACATGGGCTTTTGAACTGAAATAGCCACCTCGAAGACCTTTACGCACTGCTCACAATCCTGCCCTTGATAAGATTTGAGCCTCTAGTTTCTGAGCTACACGCCTAAATGGGGAGAGTATTTCGGGGAGAGTATTTGAAAGTCACCTCGGTATTCATGAAGCCATAAAAACGCTATTCATTTCCTGCTATTCCATAGCCGTGTGGTGATGAAGGCCGAGACAAATATAATTGTTGAGGTGCTCATATCTGGCGTTCTGGCGTGGGCATCACGCGACGTGAGCACATGAGCACCCGGCGTGAGCACCATTTCCAAATGTAACGGCTGTCAACTGTATCTTAACCAAGGTTGGGCAACGTACTATGACGTAATAAAACCATAACGCATTGGGCAGCGTATTTACTAAACAGAGAGTTGCACTGTCTGAAGCAGCCTTTTCTTCTTAAAAAGCACACCAATAGTTATAAGTGAGCTTGTTTCATCATATTTGATGCTTGCTTCTAGCCCTGTGCCAGAATCCTGATGAAATTAATCGCATAAGCCTTCGCTGCAGAAATTCTGCCTGACTGTGCCATGTCGGGTTGGAGTTTTGGCGTTCGCAGATTTGTTGAAAAGGAGTGATGTCGCCCGGATGCCTTGTCCGTAAAACTTTTATTATGCCCAACCGTTAACGTAACTTTGAAGCATTGCTGTGTAGAAGCAATGTCTGATGAATCGCACTGTCCTGTAGGCAGTGTCTGTAAACGTGTTGGTTCTGTATGGCAAACCTTGCTGCACAGAATAAACAATATCTGATAACATATTTGGTACACTTTTACCATCACCATGACATATTTTGTCGACCGTGATTTGCGTTACATGCGTATCGAACGCCAAGTGACATGGCGGTACAGAAGCCACGCTTTTGTGGCCAGAAACTCAAGGGCTAAACACGGGTCGTAACTCGAAGTCGTCGCATATTTTCTGTCACTGAATTAATCGTGTAGTGAGACCTAGAACAAAAACTGAATTAGCTCATGTACTTGACCTGGTGTTTCGGGTTGGTCACGTGCTGTGAATGTGAAAGGAGGACAATGAACCCATAGTAAAGGATGAGGTAGGCGGTTGACTTGCTGTGCAAGAACTGAGCTCCGAAAAGCGGTTTGAAATTAATTCGTTTTGCTGGCATATCCAGCAGCGATTTCTGATGACAGATTGCCAAACTATTGGAGAAAAGATGCGCGCGCACAACACCGATGGCTAAACGCTAAGTCTGCTTGATTAGCGGAAGCAGCGGCGCACGTCCTTACTTGGCTTCGTAAGATCCGTCTTCCTCAATGCCGTATTGGTAGTTCCGAATCCTGGCATCGCGGTTCGCCGTCGCTACCGCAACAACGAAGAGAATGATAACCTGGGGAAAAGAACACATGCTCACTTTTGTGCGTATTGTGTCGTTCAGGTTCGCGTTTATTTTCACACGTTCACTTGTAACGTTTTCAACTCTCCTAAGTGCGAAAGCATTTTTGTAAAGGAAATGGAACAATAATCGCAACCGGGCTCTCTAAAGATTTCAAACGCCATGCATTGAAAATGCTCCCCGGAGAAAGGACCAATTTAGCATGCCCTGTCATCGCGCGACCGGCACGTTGTTACCCCGCTGACGAACTGGGCTTCCATGCAATATTATCCACAACGACCCTGAAACATCACAGACACTTCAAAGCGGGACAATGGGACTTGTAAGCGCGGGCCAGGGACGTTAAGTGTCCATGAACAAGCTGAAGACTGCATGAGACCCGGGCTGTGAAAAATGCAGGGATTGGCTGACGCCTGCGGCCACACGCTACTGTTTCGAAGGATCAGGCGAGGTCAGTCTCGCCTACTACGGTGACCCGCTGCGAGTCCAGACTAGCCCACACGCCGTCGGAGGAGACCCATGACACCTGACCCCTTAACACCCATGACATGACAGGATCCACGACGACGACCGTGGCAGCGCCACGCGCCGGCGCCGGACCACATGCTTGGTGCAGACGGCGGTCACACGTCCAGCCACTCGTCGTCCAGCACCACCACCGTCGTCGCCACAACCTACCGCCTTCATGGTGTTGATCGGGAGGGCGCACTGGTGCCCTGCTCCAGGCGCCAGGCCCTTATAACGGTCGCGGTGCACCTGCGGTGCGTCGTCGCCCTGTTGAGTCGGTGGGGGCGGGCGCAGGGCTGGATGAGATGGTGCAGGTGGCCGTGGTGGTTCTCCGCGTGATTGTGGCGGTTTAAAGCCGGCCACTTTTAATGGGGCATTCGGCTGAGAAGGTGGTATCAGGAGAGTGAGTTGGTTGTTCCGCGAAAACTGTCACTGGCAGGAGCTATCTGACGAAGTTTTTTTCCTTGTGGAGGCAAGTGGCCATTCCAGAACTGATTTATTGAGATGTAGACGTTCACCTCTCTTCCATGGGCAATAAACACGCCTGATAAGCACGCCATCGTTCACCTTCAGTACAGGGATAATCTCGAGTGCTTAGTTCTCCTTGAAGGGACAATTTCACGTGGAAACAAACCATGCGGGTGCATTGATCTATTCAACTGGAGGGCCACAACGCCCCCCCCCCCCCTCGCATATTCGACTCCAGCCGACAGCCCCTCCCCCCCCCCCCAATTTCGAGGAGAATGTAGGCCAAACCCGGAGAGAGGCCAGTTTGCTGACGCATATTAGTATCAGCTGGAGTCATTTTATATCGTTCAAACCCAACTGATCTTACGAAAGTGTGCCCCAGGATGATTGTAATGGGTTCAATACACATAGCATTATTATCTCTCAAGCGTTTGTGCTCTAGAAGTGCCAATGCGATCCAAGATAAGATCAGTACATTTGGCACGAGTTTCTTAGCTGAAATATATTCAGCTAAGGGTTATTCGACAGTGTTACCATTATAGTAGGCAGTGGCAGAATGACACGAATGACTCCAAATGCACCTTAAACTGGGATCATAATGAGGTAAAGTCTGTCTCAAATGCGTGATTAAAAAAAATACATTTTAACGTACAGCTGCAGTCCAACATTATTTTACTAATGCAGGCGTCCCTTCATGGTTTCCCAACCCTACGGCTTGTTTTGAACGGATCGAACACGGACTGGATCGGTTTCGAAAGAAGCATATGAACTTGAACTGAATGTCGATCTTGTTTGGCCGGGTAAGAGTTGGATGGGGGTAAGCACAAGTTATCTGCTTTGCACCCCATATTTTCCCGAAATTCACTCACTCTCATCTTGAGGTTCGGGGGGGGGGCACCTACCATAGAATAAGTAACTACACCGCTGCGTGTATGTGTAGTTTATCGGCACCATGCCTAAGAGTTTGTTAACTGTTTGCTGCGCATCGGGCAATCTTTATGCCACCAGTGACTCGGACCGCGACCTTACTGCACTAGTCGTCGCTGAAATCTTAAGATAGTTTAAGTGGTTGCATTTAGTGACAACGACTGAGTGGGGGAAGGGGAAGTTGACTTCCCCCAGCGGTTTTCGAACACAGGTCAAAAACCAAGGCTTACAGTTACACGACATCGTCAGTGTTTCTTCATGTATGAATTTTTCGTATTTTGTGCGAATATGAACTTTTGGTCTACCGAAATCAGTGACCCAGCTCACGTCGAAGTGACCAAACTACAGCAATTTTGACCGCATATAACTATTTTTGTGGACCATATGTCACTGTGAAAGTTTATTTTAGTAATAGAACATAACAGTACCTACAGTTTGCATTTTTCGATTTTTTCGGAAAATGAGAGGTCAGTGACGTGAAGTCACGTCAGTTTTGCTATTTTTATAAACAACGCAAATTTGTACCATTTTAGTGCAGTTCTGGTGTTTGTAAATGCAAAAGAACATTAATCAAACGCACAACCATCATGTGCCCACAGAGCACATAACCTTGGCCCAGGTCATGACCTATTTCAATGGGTACTTTCTGAAAAATACATGTTGAGCCCATAACAGGCAGTTTCGGGCAGCAATTTTGGACGCAAAATTATAATACTTCAGTGAAAACATGAGATATTATTCTAACGCATAATGAGGTCGCCATAGCTCATGTGAGATCGTGCAACGTCATATGAGATCATCTTAAGTCAATGACCCACGCTACCAAAAATGGAAAGGCTAGGTGAACGAGCGCGACGCGTTGAACTACCCCCTTATAGTGTTTGTAAAGCTGATGACGCCTAAATTCATGCGCCAACGTACCTGTTCTCAGTTTGCTACAAATACATTGCCAAGCGTTGAAGGGACTGTGTATAATGTAGACGATCGTGAGTACCCATAGATGCATGATACACATTTTTCTGACGACAGAAAATAATTGTATTAGTCACATAAAGCTGGATAGCGCTTCAAACTTTTCCACTTAATTGTTTATGAATTTCACCTCAGTATACCTCAAACGGCCCTAGGTCACCTTGAAATTACATTTTGGTGTCTGAAATGCTTTTATCCCACAGATACATCGAATGAAATAAACATAGTAAGAAGCACATTGTGAGGAAAAGTATCGTTGTTGTTGGCTACTGGTACAGCAATGTTGAACAGCGACCTGACCTGACCTGATCCGTGTGGGGAACAGGCATTCTTGGAATGGACTCCCCATAGTCTTAACACCGTTTTCCGTGCCCTCAATATCCATTTCGACAAGTTAACATATGTTTAAACTGCATCTATCGGAACAACTGTCTTGACATTCCGTGACCTCTGGTGACCCCATATTTGACCTAAGGTCAAAACTTTTGTGTGCATTCCTTATGACATGACTATACCTTCAACAAGTTATCTTTATTCTTCTGATACGGCGTATGGAAGTTGCAGATCCCAGGGGAAAGACAACTCTCCCCCCCCCCCTCGGCCGGGAGCGGTTGTCTCAGACCCCGGCCGAGGGAGAGGTAAAGCAGCCGAGGACGCGTCATGGCAAAAGTGGGTTAAGGTCAGCGATGAGGTTGACTGGTGTCTGCGATGCATCAGCCCCTCTACGCTGGCATTAGAAGACAGGGACTAAATTTATGTCTGAGCTTCTCGGAAACTAGAAAAAAACAGTAGCGAACGCGACTAAAAATTCCCAGGTATATTAAAATAGCCAGTAAAGTTTACTTTAGAAGCGCTTTTATCTCATGTTTATGTCAGGGTCTGTTCGTTATTTTATGTTTGCAGTGTTTTTGTAGGTCCCTTGAGACCAAATTCGCAAACGCAAAATGACGAATACGTACATAACGACGCAGTAAACTCACCTTCGCAGGGACATGAACCGACCTTTTTGATGCATCCAATGATAAACATTGCGCTTGGCCCTTGTTTATGTTTGAGCTTTCGTGCATGTCAGATTTGGCACCAGATAAGTTCCTGGGTAAGTGAAAAAGCTATCTCTTCGCTCTGCTGCTGCAAGCGGCCTCCAGTGCATTCCAACACTGGCGTTATGTAACCAGTAAAGCAGCCACAGGCACTTCAGCCAGCTGAGTCCCTGGCCACACAAGGAGGCGGTGCCATCGCCGATCGCTCGGCTGCGGTGCAGCTGCCGGCCTCACACTAACCAGCGCGACGGGCGCCCACGCCCCTCACAAGGAGATAATCCAAATGTGCACCGACAAGAACGATTCAGAGATAACCACCGCCCGGCTTGACGCCCCTCACCGGGGGGAATTCACAATGCAATGAATGCTTCGGCAGGAGCAGCCCGGTAGCAGAACTATGTGTATCATGGCGATTAAGGCTACTGGGTTTGGATGGGGTATTAAGCAGCATAACGAATAGCAGCACCAGTGTCAGCCTTGGTCTGCGGAATGGTCTAGGTCTTGGTCTGTCAGCCTTGGTCTAGGTCTTGGTCTGCGGAGTGGCAGGCGGCAGCGCGGCAAACTTAAGCAGATGGTACACATCGTTTCACATGCAGCGTGCCCGACAAGTTGGCAACGGCAGCGCCCCTGCGCTGTCGCCAGGTTGGGATAGGCTAAGAATTAGCGGCTTCGCCAGAAAGTGACGTCAAGGGGTATCTGGTACTCCTGACGCGTCCAGAACTGGCTGTAATTAAAGGGTATCCCTGAAGGGCGTGGGGTTCATCTTGAAGGCAAATCATCTAAAGAATGACACTTTTACCGGCGCCAGAAAGATTGGTTGGAATTGGTTGACTGGAAGCGATGAGATGTCAGCTGCAGTCAAGGGGCGTGCAAGACGAAGGGGGCAGGGGCTCCAACTCCCCCTCAAAGTCAACATAAGTCCCCAAGTGACAGCGGGCCTCTAGGTGTACCATGGAAGAAGGTGTCCCAACACTACTGTAACATTCCAGCCTGAGGAGTACGCTAGCCCCGGTAGGTGCCTGAAGTCAGCCATTGCTGGGAAAGGTTCTCTACTGAACCGGCATTTATTGAACATAGACTTGAGAGAAATCTATGATGTAAAAGAGTGATACGTTTCGCACTGTACTGACTTTCCTTCACTTGTTCATCGTGCACTCATTCTATTGTCCTTGACTTTAAAAGAGTATCCCACTACTCTGTACTTTTCACTTGTTGCTAGGTCAGACATATACGATTTTTCAGTATTACTAGTTTTCTGGAAATCCTTATGAATAGCCCGACTTTTATGTGAAACAGTCGTTCCTGCAGGAGAAATCTTGTTTGACTACATGCTTATCACTATGGAAGTAATGCACTTTATTTACTTAGCTTTTTCCAACGCGTTTGTTGGTAATGTTTGCTGCACTAATGTGCAAAAGCGTTTGTGTAATAAGTGTTACGAAAGGTTCGGCACAAAAAGGCACAAAGGTCAAAAGGCACTTTGTTTAGACAAAAAGATTACGAGCATGAAACTATATCCCGCGAATTCAGCGATACGTTATACTGTGGTCTTAATTTCTCCACTGTGGCGTTTAAAACAGTGGCTCTTTTCGAGGTGCACTTTGGCTTTGGGAACGGAATATTGCGTGGTCCATAGTGACGCACTGGCTCAAACATCAATCTTTGTGCTTCTCGGTAACAGACCTTTGCCGCTCGCTGGGCGAAACACAAACATTCTCCTATTCGTACCAGTAGAGATGTGCACAGTGGTCGTCATGACGACGCTGATCGCGACTGCAGGGCAGA